AGACATGTGTGTCCGTCCGTCCATTATAATTTGTAAACACGATACAGGTCACAGTTATGGATCAATCTTCACGAAATTTTGCATGTAGTATGGGTTCTGACCAATGAAGACCCCTATAGGTATTGGTGGTAAAGATCGTTTAATATTTAGGGGATGAAATGGGCCAAATACTTAATTTTTTTTCGGTTTTTTTGGTCGATCCAGAGGCCGCAATTATGGCCCGAACATCGCGAAATTTTACATGGAGAAGAGGATCGGGATAAAGAATATGCATGCCTGCTTTGATAAAGATCGTTCAATATTTAGCGGGTCAAATGGACCCTGACTTTTGTGTGAAAAATTGCAAAATTTGTATTCTGTGGCGTATATATTTGCCCCTGAAGGACATAGACCCGAGAAGTTGATAATATATCCAGGAGGATTGGTTTGCCTTTAAATTGATACCAATTATATTGTTGTATGTACTCGGATGTGGGAGATACACTTGAATATTTACAGGTGCTTAGGTATTCAGATATTATTTAGTACCCATTACCACACTAGAGGGCAGAAATATAGCGCTAATCGCTTTGATTTTTTCATGAGGTTCCAGGTATGGTCAAGGACAACGCCAATAATTTTCGGTGATGATCAGATAATAATATTGGGATGAAGTGGACCGAAATCTTAATATTTTGTGTTTTTCGAGTCGATCTATAGGCCACAATTGGAACTCACGGTGAAGGGAATCTGGACAAGTAATTAGAAGAGCTGTACTGAATATTAGCAATATTTGTTGACCTCTAGTCGGTCAAGAGGGTGAAAATATCGCGAAATATTGCCCAAGCTCAGAATTACACCGCAAAAAGTTAGGGGGTACCATATGGTCGGCCCCGTCCGACTATACTGCTCCGCTCACTGTTTTTGTTTTGTAAGTCGACCTTATTTTGAAATTAAAAACGATAACCCTGCTCGTACCCTGAATTATTTTTCATTTTTTTTACTTACTTACATAGCTGGCTTGTGACAGAACTTTCGTTCCATAAGACGAGCTTAAAAAAATATTTTGCGCAATTTTTCCAATTTGAAAGACCATGTTCGGCAATGTTGTCATGATCTTTCCATCTAATTAATGGCCTTCCCCTTTTGGTTCGATTTAATATATACCTTTTGAGCTGAAGCAACATCATCCATTCTCACAACATGACCTAGCCAACGTAGTCGCTGCATCTCGATACGTCTAACAATGCCGATGTGTGAGGATAGCTGGTAAAACTAATGGTTCATTCGACGGCGATATTCACCGTCAAGGCAGATCGGTCCATAGATCTTTCGGAGAACTTTTCTCTCAAAGACTCCAAGAGCTGCCTCATCTGCTTGCGCAAGTACCCATGCTTCCGATCCATATAACAGCACGTGTAGTATGAGCGTCTTGTAGAGTGTGAGTTTGGTCTGGCGGGAGGTGGCCTTGTTTCTAAACTGCTTACTTAGACCCTAGTAGCATCTGTTGGCCAACACTATCCTTTTCCGAATTTCAAAACTGATGTCATTCGTTTTATCCATGGCGATACCAAGGTATATAAAATCTTTGACTACCTCGAAGCTGTAGTTCTCAAGTACCACAGTTGGTCCGAGTCTACTGGACGTCTTGCGCGTTGATACCATCAGCTTGGTTTTCTTGTCATTTACTGCCAGGCAGACTCCTTCTCAATTTGTTTAAAGGTGGCTGTTACCTCTGGCAATGTTCGACCCATTATGTCGATGTCGTTGTCGTAGGTGAGTAACATACACTGTTTGGTGTAGAGAGAGTGTCATTTCTGTTCACCTTTTCGTCTCGTATGACCTTTTCCAGCGGGATGTTAAAAAGGTCACACGATCAACTGTCACCTTGTCTGAATCCTCGTTCGCTATTGAACGGCTCCGATATGTCATTTCCGACTTTAACTGCTGATCTTGTGCCAGTTTAAGTTATCCTATATAGCCGAATTAATTTTGCAGGAATGCCAAACGCAGACATGGCTTTAAATACCTCTGAGCGGATTGGGCTGTAGAATGATGACGAATAGGTGGAATTTGTCGATGTGTTTTTCTTGGGTCATTTCCAGAATTTAGCGCAGAGTGAACATTTGGTCAATGGTGGATTTGCCTGAAGCTGCATTGGTATGGTCCATCGTATGCCGACGAATAGGTGGAATGTGTCGATGTAATTTTCGTGGATCTTTTCCAGGATTTGGCGCAGAGTGAAAATCTGGTCAATGGTGGATTTGCTAGGTCTGAAGCCGCATTGGTATGGTCCAATAATGTCACTGACCATTGGCTTTAGTCGTTAACACAGCTCGCTGGATAGCACTTTATATGCGATGGGAAGGAGACTTATTCCTCTATTGTTGGTACATATCTTGTCTCCTCTTTTTGTGCGCGGGTCACAGAATGCTAAGGCTCCAATGATTGGACATGCATTCCTCTAGCCAAATTGTTCTAATCAACTGGTGCATGCTCCTGACCAGCATCTGACCACCGGTCTTGGATTCGGCTGGTAATCCATCGGCACTTGCTGCTTTACTACTCTTCTACTACTTAATTGCTACTCTAAACCTCATATTGGCTAGGTGGTATACACTCTATACCATCATCTCTTATTGGTTCGGGTGTATATCTTCATCTCTACAGAAGGATGTGCTTGCACCAAAGCCTTCGGTTTGCTATTTTACTCGTTTGTAAAAATTCCGGATTCTGACTCCTGTACATCTCGATTTTCTCCCGCTCACGTTTTTCTGAAAATACGTTTCTCCTCTCTCCTTTTCTCAGAAAATTCTCCATGGCATTATGTGTTGCTACTGTTTTCAGGGTTGTCCGATACGCCTCGTTTTTCACAGCAGTAGCATTACGACACTCCTGATCGTACCATGGTGGTGGTTTTTGCTACCCAAGTGTTGCTTTTGCTGCAGTTTGTAGGGAGTTGGCCATTCTTTGCCATTGTGCTTCTACATTATTATCGGGACAAGGAGTGCTTTCGTCAAGCAAGTGGGAAAGTTGAGCGGAGTAGGGTTCTGCTACCTGTTGTCGTTGCAGCTTTTCGACGTCGAGTTTCCGGGTTACATTGGATCGCAACGTTACTGCTACATTAAGACGCGTGTGAACCTTTGGCTGCCATAAGGTAATGGTCCGATTCGATATTCGCTCCTCATATCGATCAAACGTCTAAAACACTGGATGAAGAGGGACCCAGATTAGCCTGGATTATGCCATGTTAATGCTAATTAAAGCCGTTGCTTGGTACCTATCATCCCCAACGCCCTCCAGAAGTCGGATAAAATTGAATAATATACTTTCGACAGGATTCTTTTTAATTAAGAGCCTTGTGGGTGGGATCCCTTCTATATATTTTCTGAGGTCTTCTTTGGATAGAATAGGTATTCTGTAGTTAGTTTTCCATCTAAGGGCTTTCAATAGTGTGAATATCCCTCATATAGGTCTCTTTGAATACCTTTAAATATTATTTGTTTAAAAAATCGACCAATATATATTTCTTACCAAAATAGCAAAACTGAAATCCGATAAGCCTGAATGAGTTTGTGCAATGAAAATATTATTCATTTTCTTAAATTCTAATATATTTGACAACTCTGTGCATTAATGTTGCAACGATTTTGAATTATGATGTTGCTTATTCTGTTCTCATTTGGCAAAATAAAGATTAAATGCTTTGTGATGAAACCGACATATCAAGGGTGTTATTATTTTTTAAAGAAACTGTTGAAGGCATTGGAGCTGCAAATTTGAAACGAGAGCTAACCAGTGGTGTTGATTTGTTTAAAGACTACTTTTAAAGGCTTCAAAGAAGGCGGGAATTTTAAAAAAAAAAATATTTTTTTAAGGCTTGAAAGAAGGCGTAGATTTTTTAAAGAATATTTTTTCAAGCCATGCTTAAGTCTTAGATTTTTTCTAGTCATGCTCAAGTCTTAGATTTTTTCAAGCCATGCTTGAGACTTAGATTTTTTCAAGCCATACTCAAGTCTTAAATTTTTTTTAAAGCCATGCTTAAGCTTTAGATTTTTTCAAGCCATGCTAAAGTCTTAGATTTTTTCATGCCATGCTCAAGTCTTAGATTTTTTCAAACCATGCTTAAGCCTTAGATTTTTTCAAGCCATGCTCAAGTCTTAGATTTTTTCAAGCCATGCTCATGTCATAAATTTTTTTCAAGCCATGCTCAAGTCTTAGATTTTTTCAAGCCATGCTCAAGTCTTAGATTTTTTTAAGCCATGCTTAAGTCTTAGATTTTTTCAAGCTATGCTCAAGTCATAGAGTTTTTCAAGCCATGCTCAAGTCTTAGATTTCAAGCCATGCTGAAGTCTTAGATTTTTTCAAGCCATGATCAAGTCATAGATTTTTTCAAGCCATGCTCAAGTCTTAGATTTTTTCAAGCCATGCTCAAGTCTTTGATTTTTTCAAGCCATGCTGAAGTCTTAGATTTTTTCAAGCCATGCTCATGCCTTACATTTTTCCTTGCCTTGCTCAAGTCTTAGATTTTTTTCAAGCCATGATCAAGTCATAGATTTTTTCAAGCCATGCTCAAGTCTTAGATTTTTTCAAGCCATGCTCAAGTCTTAGATTTTTTTAAACCATGCTTAAGACTTAGATTTTTTCAAGCCATGCTCAAGTCTTAGATTTTTTCAAGCCATGCTCAAGTCTTTGATTTTTTCAAGTCATGCTCAAGTCTAAGATTTTTTCAAGCCATGCTTAAGTCTTAGATTTTTTCAAGGCATGATCAAGTCATAGATATTTTCAAGTTATGCTCAAGTCTTAGATTTTTTAAAGCCATGCTCAAGTCTTAGATTTTTCCAAGAGACGATATGCCGCTCATTACAGAATATCTTCCATTAATTGGCCAATATTTCGATAGTAAACTATGAAGATCATAATCACAGTATTTTTTTTTTACTTTGTTAAAGTTATGTGTGACCTTGAATATTAAATTTTTTATTAATAAACAAATAAGAAAACATTTTAATTGTTACTTATTAACCGCGATAAAATACCAAACGATTATTGTTGGACTGTACGGGTCTGTAATTGTTAATCAACGGAGCTCCTGTGTTGTCACGAGTTGACCAGAATTTCTGCATTTGTTCAGCGGGAACGTACAAAGGTTGAGGGAATACAGTCCATGTTACAGCTTCCGAACAATCGGGTGTGGTGAGAGAACCCTCATAGGTATAATATTGATTTGTGTTGATATCACCCAAAAGCATCGATAAAGACATTTGTGTGCCCACCGGAGTGGTTGATTGGTATCTGGCGACATTGGGTACTCGGTTCATCATATCATTAAGGCCGGGATAGACGCGATAGACACGCTATACAGGAAAAAATATAAATTAATTAGTTAAAAAAATTCAATGAAATAAATAATTGTTTGTAAAAAACTTACCCTTGCAATATTCAGCATAATACCCAATACAGCCAACCCATCGGGATATGCTGCTGCCTGGGCAATTGTTGGATATTTCACATTTTTGTGGACAATATGCAACTCAGCATCGTAACGTTGTCCATTGATAACATGTTCAGCGCCCTTGCTTGTCCTACTACCCCAATGGAAATGACAACCCATGGCTTCAAATACACCCGGCAACTTTCCACCGCTAATACTGGGTCTGGCCCCATTTGTTGTTGGCGGAATTTCCATTTCAACTAAACACCAAAGAGGAATCAAAATGTTTTTGTATTAAAACCAGAACAGTTTTAGGAAATAATTTGAGTTTTTTCTACTCACTTGAATGACCATTATTTTTCATGACCAAATTACCCGCCAGCGGAACATTGTAGTTGTGGAATGTAATGGGTGGCAATGAGGGGAAATATGACTGCAAAAAAATATGGAGATATAAAGAAGTTGATGTATTTTAATAAAAAAGTTTGAAATTACTTTTGAATGGGTTTGAACTTGAGTCTGTTTCGTTGTGTAAACTTGGTAATAAAGATGTATGATATTGGTGGGTATATTGGGTGCTAATTTCCTGGAAATAACCTTGAAAGATTGTGGGGATATGAAATTAAAATGCATAGTAATAAGAACAGGGAAAAGGCCGTGAATTTTTGTAGGACGGAACTATGTATAACCTCCACCATGAGATAGGCATTCAAACTATCTAAAATCGATCGGCACATCTATATGGAATTATGACGAAATATGGTTCTCAGTACTTGAAGTACGGAGTCTTTGTCTAAACATGGACCTATATTGAAAATAATCTGTCAACAGGTTATTTTCATTGACGATTGAAGATCAAAAATTCCGAATGGCTATATTATGATAGGTAGCAAAATATAGTCATATGGCTTGGATCATTAATAATGAGGCAGAACTTTTATATAGGACGCCTATGTCAAATATAGGTCTCTGTTTGAATATGCCCGGAATGCCAAATTTCAACCACATTAGCTGGAAAATTAAACTAGGCCGGCGTTCCTTCTTGTCCCTTATTAAAAACCTTCGATGAAAAATGATTTTTGTCTTTTGAAAACGCAAAATGCTATTTACAGCAATATTGCTTTGAAGAGGCGTCTACGACCATGAACATACTCAAAATGGCAACACGTGGATCTGTATTGAAAAATTTCTGCAAAGATTTTTTTACCATCCAGAATCCCAAAATGACCATTTCAATATATGGACATATATCGATAGATGATGTGTCCGGAGCATAATAACATTCTAAGAACCAACATCAGTATCAACAACTGGCGATAAAACAACAAAGAAATGTTAGGATATAACGCCATCTACAGGAAAAAGGTGGCATTAAAATAATGAAGGATCCCACCGCTGCACAAAATTCAAGGAGACGTTGTTGCGATAGATGCTACCCATCACCTTATATGGAAGCTATGTCTTGAGATGGATAAATTCGTTGAAAGTGGTTTTCGAATATTTGAAGAGACCTACATATCCCTCCAAATGATGTGTACGAAACCTACTGAAATTCTAAGAACCAACCTCAGCATCAACACCTGACGTTAGAACAACATAGACATGTCAAGGTATAGCGCTATCTAGAGGAAAAATTACGACACTAAAATAACCAGGGATCCCAATAACTGTACAACATTTAAGAAGGCGTTGTTTCTAGACAACGTTAGATGGCACCCATTACCTTATATGTAGGCTATTGGTAAACATGCATAAATTCGTTGAAAGTGTTTTCCGAATATTTTAAGAGTCCTACATCTCCCTTCCGAAACCTACTGACATTCTAAGAACCAATCTCAGCATCAAAACATAAGGTTAAAGCAACATGGAAATGACAGGGTATAGCGCCATATAGAGGAAAAATTACGGCACTAAAATAAGCAAGGACCCCAACCGCTGCTAAAAAATCCAAAGAGACGTTGTTTCTAGACAACGTTAGATGACACCCATCACCTTATATGGGGCTATGTCTAAACATGTAAAAATTCATTGGAAGTAGTTTTCGAATTTTTTTAACAGGTTCCGAAGCCTACTGACGTTCTAAAAACCAACCTCAGCATCGACACATGAAGGTAAAACAATATAGAAATGTCAGAATATAGTGCCACCTAGACTGATGACATTAAATTAATCAAGGATCCCAACCATGGTAGAAAATTCAAGGAGTCGTTGTAACTAGGCAACGATAGATGACAGTCCAATAACTTAAGACAAGGTCACATGTAGCCTTCTTCTACTTTGCTGGAATAAAAAAATTATGAGATGATAACGTTTCGAGTAAGATGACAATACAGTCTGGAGGAGTGGCAGAATGTTTTTAAGTGGAGAGATCTTGTATGGTGCCCAAGTTACATATACAATAAAGGGGTGCGTACATTAATTTTACACCCAGTGAAAAATTACGATACTAAAATAAGCAAGGACCCCAACTATTGCACAAAATTCAATGAGGTATTGTTTCAAGGCATCGATAGATGCCAGCCATCACAATCACCTAAGACCGGCTATAGCAGACCAATCACCTACTTATCTGAAAAAAAATACGAAATGATAACGAAACAAATCGCGAGAGAGGCAATCTTTGTGGAGGAGTCAACAATATTTTTTAATGGCTATTGAAAGCGAGGACATTTTGGGGAGATCTTGAATGGTGCAAATGTTGTATATTCTATAAAGAGGTGAGTATATTAATTTTCTACCCAGTGCGAAAACTACGACACTTAAATAAGCAAGATACTCCAACCACTGCGCAAAATTCAAGGAGGCGTTGTTTCCAGGCGACGATAGATGGCAGCCCTATCACCATCACCTAAGACAAGCTACAGCTAACAAATAATCTACTTAGGTGGAATAAAACACTGAAATGATGACAATGCTTTGTGGAGGCAACAGGATAATTTTTCAATGGCTTTTGAAAGCGAGGACTTTATGCATAATTGTATTTCGGAGAGATCATGTATGGTGCCCATGTTGCATATACTATTAAGTGGTAGGAATATTAATTTTCCACCCAGTGGAAAAATGATTACACTAAAATAAGCAAAGACACCAAACACTACCCAAAATCAAAGGAAGCGCTGTTTCTTCACAACGATAGATGGCTCGCCCATTACACACTATAGCAGACCATCAATTCATAAAAAAGAGAAATAATGAAACTAACACAAGGACTAATCGAGTATGATGCCTATGCTTCGTGAAAGCCATAAGCTCCCAAGAGAATTAGCAGGAATACAATACACTACGTTGATTTTCAAAGAATATTTTCTCAATGGCGGACTAAGGTGTGGAATTTAAATATATTTGTTTTTCGGAGAGGTCAGGTATTGCCCCAATGTTACATACACTATTAAGTGATGAGTATACTGATTTTGGTAAGAAATAGCGCCACCCAGATACAAATGACGACACTAAAATTATCAAAGACCCCAACCACTGCAGCAAATAAAAGCATGTGTTGTTTCTAGACAACAATAGATGGCAGGTCCTTTACATATGGCAGTCTACTGTAGACCAATAATCAATTTATTAAAAAAAATGTTCACGAAATTATAACAAGATGACGATGCTTTGCGGAAGCAATGACGAGGAGTAAGATGATAAAAAATGAGGCACAATATTAATTTTGGTAGGAGATAGCGCCACACCAACACTAAGATGAGCAAAGACCACAACCACTATAGAAAATTAAAGGTAACATTGTCTCTAGACAACTCTAGAGGGCAGAGCCATTACCTATGACAGGTTACTGCACATCAATCGTCATCAAAATAAAAAATTATTATGATGGTGATGTTTGTGGAATCTTCAAAGAGGAAATACAGGAGGAAAATAAATTGGGTCTCGGAAGTATATTTCGAGGTGTAGCAAGCAGTTCGTTGTGATCATTTTCCCCATGATGGACATATCAGAACAATGTTTTTCCGATGCAAATGTGTACACCGACGGGTTAATATTAATTTTTTAAATATTTTTAGGAAGTATATCAACATCAGTAAATCTCTCAGAGCTCTACAGTGGCATACAAGCTAAAATACTAATGAGTTTTCCAATAGGGACTTAACAACATTGCATTTAATTTGTAAACGTAATCTTACACTAAACATTGCTCTCAAGATTTGGGCATCGATTTGACATCGCATGTTAATGACAAATTTTGAGCATGATTCCTAATCATACACAGAAAAAAATAATTTATATATTATATGAATAGTGTTCAGAAAGTGTAGCCAATGTTCAGTTTTCTGCATTTCATGAATGAAATTCATTAAATTTTAAATACTGGTTTCTTGTCAGAGAGAGAGAGAGTGAAAAAATAATCTTGGAACGTGTGAGAGAAGTTGAGAGAAACTCTTAGGGATACGTAGGGCAAAAGTCGATTTTTGATTTTAACTAAAAAGTTCACTTCTCGATCTTGTCAAACCTGTTTAAAATCGATTTACGACTTTTACCGACCAATGCAAAATCCACTAAAAATTATTTTTCATATGTGAACAGATAAAATAATGTTCTGGAAAGTGGAATTTTTAGGCAATTTGTTCTTTGTGATAATAAACTCAATATTTATGAAGAAAATCGAATGTATATCATTGCCATTTCCTAAACTATCGAAAGCCGGCTTCGAATTTAAGACTTTTCAAATCTAAAGGTCGTTAATCGATTTGTCGATTGACAAATTATGAATTAAAATTAATTCATAATTTGACAAATTAATCGAATTAATTTGGAAAATTCATATGTGAATTTTGTAAGACCAGTGCAGTGGTCGAAAAGAGTATATAAAAAAAGAAACAATGGATTGCAAAACTGGTCGTAATCAAGTGAGTGGAAAGACTGATGTTGTTAGCATCAGAAACAGTAGTTAAATATACGGTTGAAAAAACAACAAACACCAAGTATGGAGAGAGGCGGAGAACGGTATCAGAACAAAACACAGCCGAATAATGAATGGTGGTTGTGGTGTATTTTTTCTTGGGAGGAATACATTTGTTTTTGTCCCAAAGAGAGAGAGAGAGAGAGAGAGAGAGGGAAAAATTAGCACAAATAGTGTAACGTAGGGCAAAGTAGGAAAATAGTTGTGGTATTAATGAAATATTTACATTTTTTGGAAAAATAATGGCGTTCTCATGATTTTAAGAATTTTTACTGGTATTCAAAGCCTTAAAGCTATGAGGATATTTAAATTTAATGGGGACAGACAAATTTTAAGAGTTAGTCTTAGTACTCACCTTGGAAGTTTGAAGATGTATTGGCGACTGCTGTTGGCCATTACATTTTGGAAATTTGTTTCCCCATGTCATGACATCTTGGTAGGACCATTCACTTGCAGCTAAAAATAAGAAAATAATATTAATATAATAATAAAAAAAAAACAAAAATCCAAATCGAGATTTGAGAAGAAATCGCCATTGAGAGACATTTCTGTGGAATTTTGTCTTAATCTTCTTAAATAATGGGCACAAACATAGGGTGAGCAAGATTTATTTTACATATCTGGGAATAATAGTAAAAAATTGCTTATAATTTGCGGGTTATATTTATATTGACTGTGCGACACTCGGATATAAGGAATGGTGAACAAATCATTAAACAACTTTATTTGCGATTTTTTAATAAAACACTAATTTGATGCATTCATTTTTGGCTTACACTAACACAGCTGATAATTTTTTAATATCAAATAAGGTCCTATTTTTTAACTTTCTATTTACCTTTTGTATAGCTCACGCCACAAATAAGTGACAATATCACCGCAACAATTTTCAATGCAGTAGCCATTTTCGAATTTATGAAATAGATAATTCTCAACGATACTCTAGTAAAAGCTATCCTTAACTGTAGGAGTTAATACAAAAAACTGATATCATTATTCCGCATCTAGAGACATTTTTATACACGAGTTTTCTTTTACAAAATTGTATTGTTTTGGCATTGAAAAGAATCTTTTCTTTTATTCCGCCACAATATTGTAAAACAGTTAATTGAAAATAAAGAAAGTTGGGATTTTTTTTAAATTGCAATATAATAGGCACAAAGGCTGTACTGTATTTAATTCGTACACAAGCTAATATTTTTATTAAACCATTGTTGAATTTCCGAAATACAAAAACATTGTTTTGTGTTTAAACATTTGAATTGCTCAATTCAAATGATGAATTGATAAAGCATTAAATATTTGTTTGGTAAATAAAGGCAATGTTTAAATTTATTTATTATTTATATGAAGAATGTCTAACATAATGAATTGTTGTCTATGAAGTAAAACAATTAATAATATAAAGCTAAATTTAATTGATTTGTTTTTGGTCCGACAAACTTTTCTGATTATTTTAGAATTAATTAATATAGAAGTTATTTTTCAGTGAAATTTTTCCACAATAAGTTTTTTTTATGCGCGAAATAAAATTATTTCCAAAATAGGATCTGAAGGCGTTTTTAATAACGTTAATTCCTTCACAATAATCAACGACCAGCTTTTTGGTTATTTTCGTAAAAAAAATATAGACATATCGATGTTCGTTGGCCGGATGAAAAACTAAGACCTATAACACAGTTGAAATCAACACTCTCCTCATTATTTTGGAATATTTGTGAGCAGTTAATCGAATATATTACCAACAAAAAATATTAGTAAAGGTCAAAAGTCGGGCGGAGCCCTTCACCAGTTTGGGTACATACAAGAGATGCTCATATGTACAATATCCTGTATATATCGAAATGTAGAATATCCTATAGACTGACGAAATTAAATTTGTGATCTACATAGATATTTGAACCAATTAGAAAAAACCCATACACACACCATTCTAAAATTTATGAAAAATTGCATGTGAAACGGGTAGACTTGGATTTTATTGAATCGAGCAAAATTATGTATGTGGGAGCTATATATATCTCTACCGATTTCAACAAAACTTTGCATACATCAGCCTAGACCTAATTCAGTACTCTGCCAAAAATGTTGTCTCAATCATACAAATATTGGGAGTTTGGGGCATCATTCACATAAAATCGGATGGGACCTATATCTAAATCTGAACCGATTTCAACGAAACTTCGCCTACATCAGCTCAGACCTAATTAAGTACTCTGTGCAGAATTTTGTCTCAATCGGACCAATATTGGGAGTTTGTTGCATCATTTACTTAAAATCGGACGAAACTATATATGGGCAATATTGCCAATTTTTTAACATTCCATTTTCAAAAAATCAGCTTTTTTGTTTTTGTGGCACATCAATGATTTTTGGTACACATATAGAGAAAAATGTTCTGACTCCGAAACCGTTCGCGATCAAATTTTTGGTTGATGCGCGCAAAAGTTATCGAGGTTTTAATTTTGGACATAAGAAAAAAATCTTAAAATTACGCCGTTTATTATATTGACCAAAAACGTTGATATATATCTTCATCCGTAAAATAAGAATATGAATATATTATAATCATCGCGAAAAAGTTGAACATCTTCGCGAAATATGAGAAAAATAATAAAAATATAGGAGATTACGTCAATATTTTCATTATATTAATGACATACACACACCTAACAATTAATTTAAACATATCTACATAATCTAAACACGATGGTGAATCAAATGATATCAAAATCACACAAGTCCGCGTAGTGGTTTCTAAATCATAGCAACAACAAACGAAGATATTGAGGGAAAATATTTCGAAAAAATAATGTCATCATATTTATTTTTTTAATTGTATACAAGAAATTTCAGAAAAAAATTTTGGGGTTATTCTGCAATTTTACCCGAATTTCGCGGAAAAATTGACATATATAATAATAATCACTTTTTGTGTATAAGTACACGCCTTGCGGATTATATCAAGACCCTTCCGATAAATCTTAGAATTCTATAAATAGGAATAAATCTTAAAATAAATTAATATTATGAAATATACATTTTAAATTGGGTGTAAATCGCGTAATTCTCAAAATCATTTGATGCGCATGCGGTTTCCAGGAAGTACTGAAGTTTATCTTCCAATCCATATATATTTTGCAAAATTTCATGTGACGGCTAAGATGTGCCACACGTTACATTGAAGTACCCAAAAAATCGTAAAACGCGAATAATTTCCGAAAACTACATATGCCATTAACGCGCATCCGATTTCGGTGTGCACCCTAAAAAATACATCGATCTATACCGATTTCAATGTGGTACAGTAAGAACCATGGATGTGCCAGCACAATCTATTTTTGAGATAAATTGCGTACATCTCTCTTTCGGCTGAAGGTTTTAAAGTTCTCTTTTCGAAAAAGATCAAAATCCATATGAGGTCATTTATTGAAGCGCAAATGATACACAGAAAGCGCGAATAAATCCGCGATAACACAAAATACATATCAAATTACGCAGATTCCCGACTACAATAATCTTATAATCGATTTTTAGAAATTCCTGTTTGCGTATTAAAGCTAAAAGTAAAATTAAAAAAAAAACACTCAAAATCGAGCTTCAAAATGTCAGCATCATTTAAAGGTAGATGCAGTTAAAATTTTGAAAAATGATACATAATGGACGTAGGCCCCATTTTGTTGGCTTCTAGTTTTCTTTTTGACACTAATACTTGTGCAATGAGTGGCTTAGTCACAAATCGATAATAGAACATAAAACTGGTTTGCCTCAACCTGTTTTTACAATTTTTTTTACATTAAGTAAGCACAGCTTCCACCAAAATAAAGTTTGGAGGTCGAATATCATGACAGTTTGCAACGACAAGTACCAATCAATTAACTCAAAACTATTCACTTTTTTTCATATACTTAAATAGTTTGCGAGTTATAAAGGGGAAGCAACACGTAATCAAGTCAAGAAGCGTTACACACAAC